TCATAAATTTCTAAAGCTGATGGACGTCTCTCTGGATTATTATCCCAGCACCTTTCCATGAGATCTATATAACATTGCGCAGTGCCATCAATAGTAGTTGGCCTTGTTCCATCACAAATTTCTAATAAAAGTTGAAAATCATGATTTCTATCTGAGAATGCCAAAATTCCTGAAGATATTTCCCACATTAATATTCCAAAAGAATAAATATCGGATGCCAATGTGTATGATCCTTTACTTATAACTTCAGGTGCAAGATACGGAATGACTCCACAAACTTCTGATTTTGCTAATGTGTGGTTATTAAATCCTAAACCAGTAATATATGCTGTATTTAAATCGTTTTGTAGTATATTTCCGCTGTGTAAATTTCGATGTATAATGTTATAAGAATGAATAAGTTGGAGATCTTCAGCTATATCAGATAATATATTTAGTTTTTCTTTCCATTCCATTTGTACGATATAGTGAAGATTTTGACGCAGAGAGCCTTTATGTGCATACTGCATGACTAATATGTAATCATTCGTGCCATTCTCATCTTTTGATATTCCATATAGTTGTAAAAATTTAGGGATTTTACACCCAATTTCATAATATGCCTTTAGCTATAATACATATATTGCGTTAGCAATGTGAAACTAAATGCATAAAATAAATATAGAGATTAATAGTCTTTTACCTCTTTTAAAAGTTCTTCATAATTATTTTGTAACCCATGAAGTAATTTAAGTGCGACGAGATGCAAATCGTTTTTTGTTGCCCATTGAGCTAAATATACAGTTGCAAGTCCACCTTTTCCTATTTTTTCGGAAATTTTTAATTCATTAAATGGAATCCATGGCAACGAAAATTTATTTTCATCTAGAATTTTTTTCAGTAAATCATCATTTTTACATTCACAAGCTTCTTGATTACGTTTATTATATTTTGCTTTTTGGAACCATTCAATAGCCTTTTCTTGATTTTGAAGTGTTCCAGTACCATTTCGAAAGCATAATCCAACTTCCAATTGTGCCTCAAAATTTCCGCCTTCTGCAGATTTTAAATACCATTTTAATGCCCTCTTTTCATCTTTGGAGACGTATATTCCATTTTTATAATATATTCCAATAATGAATTGCCCCACCAAATCTCCGCTTTCAGCTAATTTTAAATACCATTCAAATGCCTTTTTCTCGTCTTTAGAAATTCCTATGCCATTTTGATAACAATATCCAACAATGTATTGTCCATTCGAATTTTCACCTTCAGCAGATCTTAAATACCATTCAAATGCTTTCTTTACATCTTTAGAGACGCCTATTTCGTTTTGATAACAATATCCAACACTGAACTGACCCTTAGAATATCCACCTTCAGCAGATTTTAAATACCATACAAATGCCTTTTTTTCGTCTTTAGGAATACCTATACCTTCATGATAACAAATTCCAACGTAAAATCGTCCACTAGGGTATCCACTTTCGGCTGACTTTAAATACCATTCAAATGCCTTCTTTTCATATTTAAAAATACCTATTCCATTTTGATAACAATATCCAACATTAAATTGTCCTTTAGGATATCCACCCTCAGCAGATTTGAAATACCATTCAAATGCTTTCTTTTCATTTTTGGGAATGCCTATGCCTTCATCGTAACAAATTCCAATATTGAATTGTCCTCTTGGATATCCTCTTTCAGCAGATTTTAAATACCATTCAAATGCCTTCTTTTCATCTTTAGAAATGCCTATGCCTTCATTATAACAATTTCCAACATAAAATTGTCCATTAAGATTTCCACTTTCGGCTGACTTTAAATACCATTCGAATGCTTTCTGTTCATCTTTAAGGATGCCAATGCCATTTTGATAGCAATATCCAACATTGAATTGTCCAATATAATTTCCATTTTCAGCCGATTTTAAATACCATTCAAATGCTTTCTTTTCATCTTTAGAAATTCCTATACCTTCATCATAACAAATTCCAACATTGAATTGTCCTCTGGGATCTCCGCCTTGAGCTGACTTTAAATACCATTCAAATGCCTTGTTTTCGTCCTTAGAAATGCTTATGCCGTTTTGATAACAATATCCGATATTGAATTATCCTCTGGAATCTCCACTCTCGGCTGACTTTAAATACCATTCAAATGCCTTTTTTTCATTTTTAGAAACACCTATGCCTTTATCATAATAATATCCGATATTGAATTGTCCTCTATAATCTCCGTTCTCTGCAGATTTTAAATACCATTCAAATGCTTTTTTTTCATCTTTAGCGATGCTTATGCCTTTATCATAATAATAGCCAACGTTAAATTGTCCTCTAGAATCTCCACTTTCAGCCGATTTTAAATACCATTCAAATGCTTTTTTTTCATCCTTAGAAATTCCTATTCCATTTTGATAGCAGTATCCAACAAAGAATTGCCCACTGTAATATCCGTTATTGGCTGATTTTAAATACCACTCAAATGCTTTCTCTTTATTTTTAAAAATACCTATGCCATTTTGATAATAGTAACCAACATTGAATTGCCCTCTTGAATACCCACTTTCAGCTGATTTTAAATACCACTCAAATGATTTTTTTTCATCTTTAGTGATGCCTATACCTTCTTCATAACAATATCCAACATTGAATTGTCCTCTAGGATATCCTCTTTCGGCAGATTTTAAATACCATTCAAATGATATATTTTCATCTTTAGAAACGCCTAAGCCATTTTGATAGCAGTACCCGACATAGAATGGTGCACTTGAATTTCCACCTTCTGCGGATTTTAAATACCATTCAAATGCTTTCTTTTCATCTTTAGAAACGCCAATTCCATTTTGATAGCAGAATCCAACATTGAATTGTCCTCTTGAATATCCACTTTCAGCTGATTTTAAATACCATTCAAACGCCTTTTTTTCATCTTTAGAAATTCCTATACCCTCGTCATAACAGATTCCAACATTAAATTGTCCTCTAGAATATCCACCTTCGGCTGACTTTAAATACCATTCAAATGCTTTCATTTCGTCTTTAGGAATTCCTATACCTTCACTATAGCAGTTTCCCATTGCAAATTGACCACTAGAATTTCCTCCTTCAGCTGATTTTAAGTACCATTCAAATGCCTTCTTATCATCTTTAGTAATGCCTACACCTTCATCATAGCGGCATCCTACAATGAATTGTGCATGCGAATCTCCATCTTTAGCGGATTTCAAAAGTTGCTCAAATTCCATCTTTTTTTTTTTTTTTGAAAAATTCGTTGACTAAAACTGTATTCTTTATAAACATTCCAAAAATGTAACATGTAATTTACACGAGTAGTACTAATGGCTGATCCTACAATTGGTGTCAAAACATTCTGTTGATAATGATTTAATTAGTATTTTGATCATCAAGACTATTCCGCATATTCAAATAATATTTGTATGGAATTCAGATATTAAAAAAATAAAAAGGGTCAATATTACGCTAAGCTAGATTAAGGTGGGTATTACATATAAAATCACAAAATTATCATAAATTTCCAAAATACATGCTAGCATCAGTTTTTTATATTGTTGTCTCTTTTTTTCGTGCTTGGACTAATTCAGATAAATATGATACTAAAGTTATGAAATTAAACGTAGTAATGTTATAAGTACTACAAAAATTTCCGGTAACGTGACTTTTCACTATATGAAAAAAATCTTGGTTAGTTATGAGGATGGAGACCATGATAAGGCTTTTCAAAACTTTGAGCAATTATATCGACGCAACCACATAGCCAAATATGATGAAAACTTTTTTTGCTTGAATCCTACATTTTTGTAAATAATAAAGATAATTTCACACAAATTTTGAAAAATTAAAAAATTCTAAAGTAGAAGATACAGTAAACCTTTTCAAAACTTCAATCGAATATATTAAGTCAATCATTTAATCAATATTATAAATTTTTTATTTAAACATCGGTCATCACATGACTATGCTACCTTATGTTCGAACTGGTATTATTTCAATATTCGTTTAATAAGCTACATATTACTTAAAATTTAGTAATTTTTATTATATAATGTCTATTGGTAGAACTTGACATACATGATAATTATTGAGTTATTTTGGCATTGTAATAATAAAGAAATGCACCCAATTTAATAACTTCCTTTTCTTAATTTAATAATCTAAATGCCAATATAAAACAAGCGATAAATTCATTTAACTATAAGTATCATAAATCAAATATCACTTACCATCGGGAGCTTCAACATAAGTAATGGATTTACTTGCTAAAATATATATAAATATACGGTACTAACAACATAGCTAAATTTAATTTAAGAAAATAAATATCATTACCTGCATTTACTATATTGACATCGATTCAGTAATTTTTACAATTAAGAATAAATGTTATTACCCGGTTTAAGAAGTTTTATAAGATTCAAAATTCGACTTATTTGAATTGATTATATGTTAAGAAATTTTTGTTAAAGTCTTTAATATTATTAACTTGCTTATATAACTCAATTATTTTATTTTTCAAATCATAAAAAAAATTGATACATCGTATTAGCTAATTCTTAGGTAGTTGAGGTTCTGTATCTAAGCACTCATTCATGAGATCCAAAAGTAATTGAGGGACTTCGCACCTAATTTTAGGCCTACAACTTAAACAAATACGTGTTGCTGGATTTTCGTATATTTGATATTATGAGAATAACCAAATTTCCTTTGTGAGTGAGGGTAGCGAATCGTGGTCATTCGCAGTTGAGTGAGCTTCGATTTAGCGACAGACTCGCCGCTTTTCGGGTCTGACAACGTACCAATACGCAAACAAAGAAATTTTGATCGTCGATCTCTGTACAATTCTATAAATATTGCATAATGATAATCACGGTTAAAATTATCTTTTTTAACCGTAAATCAACACAATAAAAAGAGTAAAAGGAATAGTATCGGTGATACAAATCGTGGCAATTTTTTAATTACTAGGACGTTTGTTTTACAATAGATAAATTCTAAAAAAAGATGGCAACATTATTATTCTTAATTCGACTCTTCTATATTATTATAATCACATCTGCTATAATAATTTCAAATTTCAGGTCCTTAAAGATTTCAATCCTTTCCTACGGAAAGTTTGGAACATCAACGCAGTTCACTGCGAAAAATCAAATTGAGGCATATATACAAAATTTAACTGTTCCAAAACAATGGTTTAAACATTATTATATTGTTGGGACTCTTTGGGCTGCATTTCTTATTACTGATGTCATTATTTTACAAAATAGAAATAGAGGATATTTTGCATGGTTCGTTCAAATCTTTGATAGTGCTGAAAAATATGAGCTAGATTATTTTAAAGAGCCAGTTACAGAATGTATAATTGGATTGGTAATAATTCAAGTTCAGACTGTTAGAAGAATGTATGAATGTTTTTTTATTGAAAGGCCTTCAGTTGGCGCCAAAATGCATATAGGACTTTATCTGCTGGGTTTGGCTTTTTATATTGCAACTGGATTGTCTGTGTTTATTGAAGGCATTGGAAATTTTGGAATTCTTGATAATAAGGGTATGTTTTATCAAACCTTAAACATATAATTATTTTTTCTCACTAATAATAAATTTTAATATTTTAGATAAAGAAACAAATTTATTTATAATTCATTCTGAAAACTTTTTATCTTGGAACATATTACTTGCTATATTTGTCTTTATTTATGCTTCATATCATCAACATATACTTCACAAAAACCTTGCAATGCTTCGCCGCAAAGGTTCTTCTACTCTTTACTCTATTCCAAAAGGTGATTGGTTTGATCATATTTCATCAGCTCATTATACAGCTGAAATTGTAATTTATTTTAGCTTTGTAATTCTTACTAAAGGATTTAATTTAACTATCTGGCTTACTTTTATTTGGACGATTGTTTGTTTGGGAATTATTGCTGAAAATTCTGAAAAATGGGGAAGAGAAAAGTTTGGTGAGGAGTGGCCTAAAAATAGATGGATTATTATGCCTGGTATTTATTAGTATAAGAATATTTGTTTATATAATAAATAACTGGTTAAAAATAATGAAATTAGCAATTAACTTTATTAGTTTCATCTTGCACTGATAAAATGTTATTTGCAAACTATTAAATCATAGTGTAGGTAGTAGAGTTATAAATGTAGCAATCTTCAGTTTTACTTTGATGATATTAGCGAATATACAGGGTTCTTAAAAATATACTTTTTTATAAAGAATGCAGTCTAAATTTAACAATTAAAATTTTAATTGTCTATGGTGAGATTTAAAATTCAAATTAGGGGTCTGCAACCCGGACTTGTGCTTATTATGCCCAACAAAAGATCTGGGTTCAACTTCTCGAAATACCATTTAACCGATAAGCCATTTAATCGAAAGCCAATTTCCCGATATGTAATTTAATTGTTAATCAGAATATCCTGAATCTATTTGCATCATAACCCATTTTACTGAACAACCATTTTTCCGTAGTATATTTCCTAGACATGCCATTTATTCGAAAGCTACATTACCAAAGCTTTTTTTACTGGCAGACGTTCACTGAATTCACAGTATTATAAAATCAGAAAAATGTCTATTGGCAAATTACTGATAAGGCATAATTTTAATATCTCATTTTCTCGTAATATCATTTCATCAATAAAAAAATTTCCCCGACACCGCAATTACTACTTCCCTGAACATAAAAACTAGACTATATTATATTTAATGTCGAGGAATCAGATCGTTGAGAAATTAGTTGACTGAAAAATATGTCTTGTCAGGAAATAAGGTTAATTCACGGACTTGGTAGTTATCTTTAAAAAAATTGATTTTCACTCGTTATGATCTTTGATATTAAATTAACTGGGATGTGTATCGCCAGAATAGTAAAGTTTGTAACAGAATTTTTACAGTAACTCACGATAGAAACCATAATAATTCAAATGTAAATTAACTCAACCTTAACCAAATACTGTGATTATTAAAATAGTGAGCAAGTTCTATAAGGGAGATTTTACGGTAATTCACAATAGAAATCACACTAATTCAATGAAAACTATGTATTGTATGTTGAATAGGTTTGCAGCAGAATTTTTTTTATAGTAATTCACGATATAAATTACGATATTTTCAATACAAATTAACTCATATTTTGTTGTTATCGAAATAATGAATAAGTTTTGTAGCAGAATCTTTTATGGTAATTCACGTGTGCTCTTTTTGCAGTTGATCATTATTTATGCCCTTCATCAGACTGATCGATATTTTCTTTCTGACTATAATGAAATTTGGTGAAATAAATGAGACGCTAACTTGTCTATCGATAGAGATTCGAATTTTTCATATCCTTCTTGAAATATTCAATGCCGTCAAGAAGAGTTGCCTATTATTGTTAATGTTGCTAATGATAAATTGAAAACTTTTTAATAGCTTATTAGATTTTCGTTACTACATAGTTATTAATAAATATTGGATTGAAAAAAAATTTAAAATGCTAACCTAATTTAATTAACTTTTTTAATAATTTCAACTTTTGACTCATAAGTGACAAAAGTATTGGCGAAATGACAGTAAATTTGATATATTTATAATTTTGTTTAGCTAAGCCCTAATCAGGTTTCTCGCTTGTAATCAACGAAATAAGCTTACAACGTTAAAATACATACCTGTAACAAGTTTTGCATCGATTTTTTTTTGCAGAAAAAAAAAACAAACGAATAACATTATTGATTTATTATAATAATTTAAATAATGATAAACTATTGACGATGAGTAATTTTATTTTATTTTATGCGAAGCATCCGATAACTCTGTTATTACCAAGATGACGTACGTACGTACGTAAATTTTGCTTCTAATTCCGGACGATCATCCGATTACAACCTGGTAAACATTTTCTAAGTGCCATATTTTGAAGTAAATACGTCATTTATTTTACCTAGAAACAGATATCTGATCCTTAATCTAAACTTAATTATTTTATCTATCTAACTCGATCATTTGTTAGATCTATAAATATTTGATATATTTAACTTAATTGCTTATTTTAATTTTTTTTTTATTCAAATCGATTATTTATTTAACTCGATCATTTATTTAAATGTGAATGCTATATTTGATTTATTTAAAGAAAAATGAAATATGCGATACTAGAGTGAATATTCATGACAAATTAGCCTAAATAAATATTAATTTTTTTGTGCCTATGCCTTTAACAGTGCCTGGCACCCTCGTGCCTATAGGCACAGACATGGCATGCGGCACTGGTACCTGACCTAGTGCCAATATGCCCGGCATGGGCATTTGCAGACCCTAATTTATATATATATATATTTACTTAAAAAAATTTGACCCTTTTCTAACTTTCCTCATATACATAACGATAAGGTGCTGGATATTAGGCCAACATCACATAATTTGTTTCAAGTTTTTCAGATCGTTAAACCTGTTTTAAATCAATTTAAAGACACTGATTTATAATTTTAAAAAAACTTGCAAAATTACTGTTTAATTTAAGACTTAAAGTTTAATAAAGTAGTTTACTGTAGTATAAAATGAGAAATAACCCTTTAAATTCACCGTAGAAGCAAACCTTTTTTAAAAATCATAACCGGAATTTTTACTTTGGTAATACGTAAGATGAAAGGGCTTAAAGTTTGATAGTATAATTATTTGTTATTTATGTACTACACCTTACAAGAGTCAGGGGACCCGCATCAGTTGTACGTTAATTAAAAGAACTACAATAAAATGGATTATGCAAATCCATCAATTATACAATTCGGGATTAATCTGCTGTCGATCATTTTCTTGGCGCTTTTGTTACACTTCGTACAGCATGGTAACAATATTATAATTACTGACCAATGCCAATGTTTAAGAAAAAGAAAAAGATGGGCTCTTCAACTTCAAAGTTGAAATATCCTCATTTAGTAGCATCAAAATTTCCAATTAATGATGACGGTGAAACTATTACTTTGAGCGATGGTAGACTATTGGGATATAAAGAATACAAATTTTCCCATACGCTAACTGACAATACTATATCTCTACGCAATCAAGAATTTGTGATTCTTTTAATACCTGGACTACCTGGTTCAAGATTTTTTACTCATCCTTCAATACTAACAAACACTGACGATGAGAATATTATTATTAATGAGAATGAAAACAAAGTGTTAATAAGATTATTTGTATTGGAACGACCAGGAATTGGACTTTCGACATTTGCTAAAAGAAATTTTATCGATTTCGCTAATGACATAAAAGAATTTTGTCAGCAAAAAAATGTTAAAAAATTTTCTTTAATGGCTTATTCCGCAGGTGGTCCTTATGGATTAGCCACTGCTTACGTTCTAGGTAAACCAGATGATAATGAGGATTGTCCTACACTTAGTAAAGCTGCAATTATTAGTTCTGTTGCTCCATATCATGCTACTAATGCGACAAATTCCATGGATTGGAGACTTAAATTTGCTTGGTAATTTTTATTTTCATTAAACATATAAAAAAGCTATTGTTTTAGCATCTTCTTTTATAATAATTAACCCATTCTTATTTTATTAAGGTGGTTAACTAAAAAAAGTCCTAGTATATTGTCAATTATAGTACGTCTCGAAGCAAAAGCTGCATTAAGTAATCCAATAAAGGCATCTTCTGAAATTCAAATACTCGGTCCACCAGCGGATAAGGAAGTGTACAATAAATATCCTGAAATTGAAGAATTATTTGTTAAAAGTATTTTAGAATTGTATTCTAGAGGCCAAGAAGAAACTGAATGTTGGGAATATAGTTTATGGGGAAAGGATTGGGGATTTAATTTAAGTGATATTGGGAAAGGAAAAGATGGAAAAAGAGGGGTTAAATGTAAAGTTTGGCACGGTGAAGAAGATTATGGATCTACTGCTGCTATGGGTAAATATATTGCTGATCAAATTGAAGGATGTGAATCTTGTTTTGTTGAAAAGTTGGGACATATGGTATATTTTACTGCTTGGGATGAGATTATTGATTGGTGTATTGCCGATCAATAATTCCAACTAGTAATTGACGATGTTGGTAGAGAATATATAAATTAACAATTTATTTTTTATTTGTTTCTATAATCCTAAGCTAATAAAAAGATTTTGGTCGGATTTTGTATAAGAAATGAATTAGTCTCTTATTTTTTTGTTATCAATCCCTTACTGTTAACGTTTAATTAGTGACTCTAGCTTATTTATGAACACATGTATACATTTTATTATGGGTAATACTTTATATAATTATTTTAATATTAAGGTAGCATTCTCACCTGGACGATTTATTAATACATAGCAATATCTGTAGGCTAATAAAATGATATCTTAAAATTTTGTCTAAAAATAAAAATACAGTTGGCACTGTCTAAATGCATACTGTTAAATGCATATATTGTCTAACTGCATACAATTTTTGTCTACCAACTTGGTTCCTATTGATAAATGCATAATTTCTTTAATTGCATAATGTATAAAAAAAAAGACAATATGCATTTAAAGAATTATAATTAACCAATCAAAAATGCTAGTATAATATTAAATAATTTTACTTTATGACTTTAAATTGTACTTAATATATATAAATATACATATTTATCAAAAGAAGCCAACTTTAACACTAGCTAAGCCTATTTAATTTTCTAATTCTGGACTTTAGTCTATAAATAATTTTTAAACTCACTTGTTTTTAAAATTAGTAAATTCCAAAACCTTTAATATTTAAAAGAAAATTATTAATTATAAGCAAAAGTTTGAAACTTATAGGTAAAAATTTTATTTTTATAGCATTGTTTATAGCAATTTCTAAAATTCCTATTGGTTGTTATTTATATTACACAGATAATGTCGATCACAATATTTTGTATAAATGTATATACTGTCTAAATACATCAAAATGTTTTCTACAGATAGTATGCATTTGGATAGTACCAACTGTATATAATTATAAATAATATAATTATCAACATATCTGCCTAATATCTTTAGAATGATAGTTATATCTGCTAAATATCTGTAGGCCGATAGAGATAATATCTTAAAATTTTGTCAAAACAAGAAAATATAATTATGAATAATATAATCATCACTATATCTGCCTTATATCTTTAGAACAATAATTATATTTGTCTAATA